CTTAGGTGCACATGTTTCTCCTGAAAAGCTCAATTTTCGTTTCATTTTACAAAATAACTTTCTTCCAGAATTTATCTGATTCAAGTTCATAATTTTTAACAAATATCCAACTCTCTTGCACATGTTTACATTTTAATAGTGGAGTCTTTCTTGTTGATCCAGAATATAGGTCTGTACGATTTTGTGATCCCTTAATTGTATCTTTACTTCAATTCCGGCATTTTTTGATCGTTCTGAATTTCTCTTTGAGGCAAAAATGGTTATTTCTTCACATTCCGGGCGATATATCGTTCTCTAGCCTCGTTTAATTTAAGCAGACGACAACTCCTTTGAATATTTTCAATAGTATCATATTTTTTTCACTTTTGAACAACAGCACCCACTGGGCACATGAATCAAATTTAAATCTTCAGTAATTTTCGATACCCCTTACCATCTTTGGGAAGCTTTATATTCTTCTGTCGCATATCATTTGACAATTCTTGTTTTAAACATTTTTATAGGTTTAAATAGCAGAACAATTTGTACTGTATCAGACCAGTTATCACAATGTGCTGTTTGAGTGATGTGCTTGATTAATATATATATATATTGAAGACAATCTGTGATTGGTTGACGTACAAAGCATATCAAAATAACTGAAAATAGTTTTAAAATACCATTTTTCCGTACTATTTGTATAGGTGTCAAATACATTTGAACACAGCCGGATTCGAAAATTGGCAATGAAAGTGCATAAAAACAATGTTTCTCAATTTTCCTTTTTGTGTAGTTAGACAATGTTCATTAAAATATTTGAACAATTTTTTATTGTGAAATTTATAAGAAACCGATGTGTTAAATAGTTTTGCTATATTTAACATACATACATACATATATATATATATATATATATATATATATATATATATATATATATATATATATATATATAACATATATATATTTAATATATATATATATATATTTAATAATTAACATATATATATATTTAACATGTATATATATTTACTATTTAAAATATTAATATATATTTAATATTTAACATATATATATTTAACATATATGTATATTTACTATTTAACATATATATATATATTTAATAATTAACATATATATATTTTAACATATATATATATTTACTATTTAACATGTATATATATTTAACATATATATATATATTTACTATTTAACATATATATACATTTAATATTTAACACACACACACGCACACACATATATATATATATATATTTATATACATATACACACACACTATATATTTACTATTTAACATGTATATATATTTAACATATATATATATTTACTATTTAACATATATACATTTAATATTTAACACACACACACACACACATATATATACTGTGGGTAGTAAACTATTTAACATATATTTGAATACTATTTAACACATCTATATATATTCACTATTTAACACACACACACATATATATTTAATATTTTACATATATATATATATATATATATATATATATATATATATTTAATATATATATATATATTTACTATTTAACATACACACACACACACATATATATATATATATATATATATATGGTTGTCATCCGTTTATCTCGGGAGATAAATGTAGCACCTTGTTTGGTCATGATTCAATCCTTTGGTAGTGATACTGGAGCGTCCTCTCCAATGCGCATGTCTGGGCGATGATAAATGGAGGCCATCTGCTGACAGGAGTACATACTAACATAATTCCCTTTTTTGCATTTGTGGCAGAAAAGTAAATCTATCAGATTTGAACTGTCACAAGTCAGAGCCATTGGTCTGAATATTGTGTGAGTGCCGAGGGTGGGAGTAAAATTGCTCCCAGTGATGATATCCTTACCCTCTTGGCATCGAGATTTATTAGAGATGATATTCTCTTGGTAAGGTGGTGAATTATCTATGCCAGATGATGTTAGGAGTGTTTGGAGGTTGATGGCGACTGATGCATAGCCTTAAGTGGGATCTAGCTGAATATATTTTTAATTGTTTGCAACAGTTTTTATGACTGGGAATCTTTTGCTAAAATATGGAAAAAATTGTGAGTATTGTAATTAAAGTTAAAAATGTTATGGAATTCTGAAATTATTCTTTTTTGTTTTATAGCGATTTTCAAAGCGTAGCTTGGATGTGACACAAGGCCGTAAGTAAGGGGAGCCCAGCGAGGTTCGAACTCACTACTCATTCTTAATTGTTTTAGAGAGACAATCTTGCTAAATGTTTAGCTATACCCCCCCCCACGTGGGATCGAATGTGGGTCACAAGGCCGAGTTTAACCCGCCTGTGGGTCATCCGGACGCCCTCGTCCGGGTTCCTCTTTCTAACGCAGAGAGTTCGACAGAAGGCGTGCAAAATATAGCCAACACCATTCAGAACCCCCACGAGAAACGAATATGGCACAAGGCCGGTTTTAATGGGTTCCCGAGAGGGCCCGGCCAAAAATATAGCCTTTTGGAACGAAACCTTGCCCTTCGGCAAAGCTTGTTCGACAGAAGGCGTGCAGTCAGAGACCGCTCAACACCACTGAGTATTTATCAAAACGAGAAACGAATATGGCAGAGAGAGTTGTCAACCTCACCGAACGAAACCTTGCCCTTCGGCAAAGTTTGGACAAAAAATGCAGAGAGTTAGACTTGCTAATTTGGACAATCTTGCATCTCTCGAAGTGCCCTTCTTTTCTTTGTTTTATAGGATATAAGAATATTTCTATTTTGTTCCAAAGTCTTTGTGATTGATTTCTTTTGATAGTTTTAAGTTGGTAATTCCTATTGAGAAAATAAATGAATAGATGTCCTAGATGTTTTTTTCTGTAATCTCTATTTTGTGTCACATCGCGACTCTTTGCGACTTTCAGGATTAACGTTTTCTGTTGGCATGAAATGGGAAAGGTTATATCGAATCAATTGTTGGGTCACTGCCCTGTACCAGAATCTATTTTAAACATTTATACCATTTAAATGCGTCCATACATTGGATATTGTTGCCACATCTGCTCTGGCGCTTCTGCTATGCACTTAGACCTCCTTGAAAAAATTCCAAAGAAGAATCTGCAATATTATCGGTTCTGACCTGGCATCTCGGCTTCAGTTAATTTCCGACCGTCGTAACGCAGTTTCACCTCCGCCTTTCGTATAAATACTTTCATGGTAATTGTTGTGATGAGGTTTGTTATTTTATTCCCCCTCCTCCTCCTCGCAGACAATGAATTGTACATATGGAAACTAGTTATGACTTTCATAGAGACAATGAGGTACTACGGTGGGTGAAGTAAGAAAGATAAGTAAGAATGTGTTGTTTTGGTGTTAGGAATATTGTTTTATGTTTGGGTCAGTGTTTGTGGCTAGCTAAGTTTAATGTTAAGACAGAAGAAGACCGTCCTTTTCCCTATTCCCTCCTTTGGGCTTGTGCCATATTTTGTATAATCATGCAAATAAATATCGCTTTCGTCTTGGGTACCTCGTGTTTGCGAATCGAGACGCAGCACTAGATACGTTTTATGCACGAGGCAATCATCAGGCATGAATTCGTACCCGATAACAGCCTAATGCATAAAACTTTAAGTAGCATATTCCTGTAAAGAATAAGGGCCTTGTTGATTTACTATGGATCTTAAATCTATTTTTTTTTATATTGAACACTATATGTTTTTAATCATGTCTGCCACTGTATACTGTATATTAGTTTGAATTCACACACGCGCACAGAAATAAGCATGCACATCGCACGCACATCGATTTATTGTTGAGAAATCGCTGTATTTAAAGGGAAAGAGTGCTCGCACTTTGTTTCCTATGTGTTTTTTCGTGTTTATGAATCGAAACGCAGCACTAGATTGGCAGTTAGGTCTAATCATTCTACACTGGAAATGGCTAGATGTAACCGTATGTTCTATGCTAACAGTTTCGTTTCTCTCACTTCTCGCTTGTGGAACTCCATTCTAGCTCCATCCTTTCCAGTAAATTTTGAACTTCATAAATTTATGTGTAATGTCAACCGTTATTTTTTGCGTCTTTTTATTTATTTTTCTTTTATTGTTCTTAATAATCTTTTTGTTCCCATATTGTTTCATATTTAGTACTTCCCCTTGCGTCTTAGTGGCTTTATTTGTTTGCTTGGAATAAAATGACTGAAAAATAAAAGACTCTGGAGTTTATTGCTGTACTCAGTGAGAAAGACAAGTTTATCCTTTTTTTCTTCCAGCTAAATCCCATTCAGAATATGTTACTTATGTTAACCTTAGCCTCACCTGTATAGGTCTATAGCTTCACTACGCTAGTTTCTAGGTTCTTTAGCAGGTAGGTTTAAACAAAACGAATTCAATAACATCATACTCAACCGTTTATTTTTTCAAATTAAACCACCAAAATGGAGGTTGAAAGAATTTATGTATGCGTAAAGAACCGTTGATTAACGTATAAGGTAGTGTCCAGATATTTATCAGGCTACGAACTTATTGACGGACCTTATACTTTCTATTTAGCATCATGCATTGCTTATCGCTATGAATAATGAAATTGCCGAGCCGATCTCAAATAAGCAAGCATAGCACATGCACATATATTTATTGTTAGAAATCGCTGTATTTAAAGGGAAAGATGCTTGCAGTTGGTTGGGTTAGGGTTTATAGATATACAAAGTGTGGACGTAGAAATCCTCACTCCATGGCGAATAATGGTTTCACGCTTCAGCGCGATCTTCAGGCCAAGTGTCACTATTCTTTCAGCGGTCTGTATATAGTTATTTTCTTAGCGTAGCTTAGATGTGGCACAAGGCTGACAGTATGGGTCAACTAGTGAGGATCGGACTTTTCAGTCGTAACTGACCTCGTAAGACAATCTTGCTAACCATTACGCCACGCCGTTCTGTATATATATAGTGGGTTTCGTATGTAGGTCAAAAGGGAATTATGTCGGGTGGGGGCGCAGTTGAAACAGGTCCTTTCTAGGTTCTTTCGTTTAGGGTTAATGCTGAAGGTGAAGAGTTAAAGAAGAGGAAGAAGTAGATGTAGAAGTAGTAGTAGTAGTAGTAGTAGTAGTAGAAGAAGAAGAAGAAGAAGAAGAAGAAGAAGAAGAAGAACAACAACAACAACAACAACAATTATAATTAAAGTGAAAGAAAAAGAAAATCTGATAAAAGAAGTAGAAAATAGAATGTTGAAAAGAAGGAGACAGTGATAATAATAATAATAATAAGTAGATGAAGAAGAAGAAGAAAAGAAGAAGAAGAAAAGAAAAAGAAAAAGAAGAAGAATAATTAAAACAAAGAAAATTAAAGCGAAAAAACAAGTAGAAAATAGAATGTTGAAAAGAAGAAGAAGAAGAAGAAGAAGAAGAAGAAGAAGAAGAAGAAGAAGAAGTGGGAGGAGGAGGAAGAAGAGGTGAAAGAAGAGGAGGAGATTTGCTGGTATAAAAGATCACGCTAAAAATAGCTACAAAAACCGCCCTATGCCTTATATACGAAGTTGAAGCTTCACATTAAGTTTATTACCAACGCTCACTATCGGGGACTAGAGAAGCAGAGAGAGGGGGGAGAGAGAGAGAGAGTAGGAGAGTGGGAGAGAATCTAGGGAAAGAGTGGTGTAGAGAGAGAGAAAGAGTAGAGAAAGGGAGAGGGAGGAGAGAGCCGAGGAGACAGAGAGAGGGGGAGAGAGAGAGGAGAAATAGATGCGAAGAAACCGTACGAGATTGTGGGAGATGGAGAGTGGTAGAAAGAGAAAGATAGAAAGAGATAGATAGATAGATAGATAGATAGATAGATAGATAGATAGATAGAGAGAGAGAGAGAGAGAGAGAGAGAGAGAGAGAAAGAGAAAATAGAGAAAAAGGTTTAACGAAAAGCCGAGAAACGAATAGATTCAGTGCGTACTTGAATCGACAATAAAATGTTCTTTATATTTTATGTTTATAGAAAAGAAAGCCAGTGTTGCATGGACGTTTAAGGATATTACCTATTCATGAATGACACGTCGGATATCCGTTTTCTCTTTGTGCTTCGAAGAAATGAAAATTTTTCATTTCGAAGCAAAAAACATTCAAATAACCTCACTACAAAGGCAAGTCTCCATTTCATTATTTTTCAACAAAGACAAGATAACAGAAAAAACAGATTTTCGTACCATCTCTGAAAATGTACCAATTGAATATATCGAACTTTTCAAAAACACTCATATATATATATATATATATATATATATATGTGTGTGTATATATATGTATGTATGCTACAGTTCAAATGTTTGAGGACACCCATACTAATTTTTTAAATCGGCCCCAAATGTTTTTTTGTACTTTAAATAAGAGAAAATTATTATACGTATTTAAAAAAAGTGAGGTATGATTTTTTATTAGAAATTTTATTATGACAAAAAGACAAAAAAAAGCATTTTATGATTAAATATTGTTCTCGTCAAAATATCCTCTTTTGGTCTTGATTACTGCAGCACAACTGTTTTTGCATTTATTATAAAAGTTTCTCAACATACAGTGTGGTCCGAAATTCTTGTCAACCCAACGTAATATAATTTTCTATTTCAGATGGCTGACAAGAACTCCTACAGTTTGGAAGAGAGGCTGCTTGCAAGTTTATGGACTCATGATCGAGTGTATTCTAGCAAGAGCATGGAGGATGGGCAACATGATTTACTAATTCTTCTATTGTTCTCATTACTTTTTGTTAGGGAGTGACAAGACTTTCGGATCACCTTGTATAAGTTTGATAAGTGACTCCATATTTTTTCAATAACTCTAAGAGCTCTTTTTCATTCATTTTTTCACTCTTCTATCAAATTCACCCCCATGCTAATTTTTGGGCTGGCTTCAAACTTTTGAACTTTAGTTTGTGTATATATATATATATATATATATATATATATATATATATATATATATATATATAAAACTGAAAGTATTCTTATTCTGTCCTGGACATTTAGTTCTACCTTTCTGACTATAGCTCAATTAGATCGCATTTAAATATTCATGGAGACCTACCGGACACTATTCGTAACATACTTGTTGACAACACTAATATAATAGCATCATCTACATGCAAAAAAAAAAAAAAAAAAGCTAAAATTAATGGAAGCCTTATTAATAAAAACAACACTTAATAATATTAACTATGAACATGGACACAATATCTTGACTGTGTTTTGAAAAATGAAAACGTTTTATAAAACATACATACAATAAACTATTTCTTATTTAACAGTTAAAATATTTAATCCTTGAAAATGGCTAAATGTATAGCCGAAACCGCTTGGATAAAAAGAACATTTAGACATTTTTTATATAATTTATCATCTGAAAAGAAAAAAATTATTAGATCGCATGAGAAATTGTATAAAAAACTAAATAAAAGCACCTTGTCTGTTGTATTCAATGAAATGTGCATGAAAGAAGGATTAACCTTTAAATACACAAATAAATATATATAATATATATATATATATATATATATATATATATATATATATATATACGTGTATGTGTGCATGTGTGTGTATGTGTGTGTTATCACTTTAAACGTTATTTTTAGTGGATAACCATGTTTGATTGAGAAGACTTATTTTTTAAACTGTGTATTTATTTTCGTCTACCGGCCTGAATATTTGAGAAATTTTGTTAAAGAAAAAGGTGCGCCGTCCGACTGGATTTGAACATGTGTCACCCCTTTGGAGAGTCCATCTTTTTTGTGCTAACACTCGTTAAAGAAAATGATAACAAAAGGAATACTTATACTCAGATTCAGGAAAAGAATACTGAAATTTAATGAGGAAGGACGGCTTGGAAAACATAAGCCGCACAAGACTTATCGATATCAAGGGAGAAAGGAGAAGTCGACTAGTTACCTACCTGATGACGTCGTATGGATGGATGGCGGAACGTGAGTCGAGCAGGAAGCTTGGTAAAGAGGGAAATGTTGCTAAGGGCCAAAAGCCATAACGAGATGTGGTGTCGCATGATCATCGAGATCCTTAAGAAATTCATAGAAGAAGAAGAAAGTTTTTTTTACACTAGTTTAAGCAGGATTTTTATCTCAGATGAAGAAGAAACTTAAAGCAACAGAAATGTTCTGCAGAAGGATGCTGAGAATACCCTGTGAGCAACGGCGATGTTTTACAAAAAACGGAAAGAAAAAGAAAACTTATACTTAACACTAAGAAAAGACGGTTGTAATTTCTAGGGCACATGATGAGGAAAGAGGGCTCAGAAATTTTGATACTCACATGACCGATTGAAGGAAAGCGAAACAGAGGAAAACAACGCATAACTTATCCAGCGAGATTGAGTAAATGGCTGGAGGAACAGATTTCAGTAAAGATAACAAAAAGGCAAAATTTACTAAGACCTAAAAAAGATAGGAAATTGTGGAGAGCCATGATCGCCAAAGCCCTGAAGGGACACGGTATTTAGAAGAAGAAGAAGACATTGTTCTGTTAAGATTTCAGGTGTTTTGATTCAAGACTTTTTCTCCGTTTCACAGTGGCGAGAAGAGGTTCCTAATGTCCCACAAAACTTTCAACCCTTTTCCGCACAAGCTCATTAGTTTTATATAATGTTAATACCAAATAAAAGGGGGGATTTTAAATTTTACTTAATAAACTCTGAGTTTTAAATAACAAATTAATTTCCTAGGAGATATTAATTCTCTATCCATACTCTCGAAGCCCGCCAGACATCGATATATTATTGATATATTATTGATATATTGATCATCCATAATATAACCTATATTACAGTGACATGGCGGAGACATGTCGATAGAAATGGATAATTATTAACCAAATAACAAATCAAGATGACAAATAGCCATATATTTTGTGATTGACCAAAATGAATATTTATTATTCTCGAAAAAAACAATATTGTTAAATTAAGAGACGGTAGACCTTTGCAGCTCACGTGGCCTTCTGTCTATGAGAGGGAAACTCCAACACAAAAACTAAGGCCTAGAGAGCTTATTTTTCCGAGCTATGGCAAACCGGATTTGTATTTGCCTTTTTTTTTTTATTAGCGTAAACCGGGCCTATGTTTGCTTTTTAGGGTTTTTAATGAGTTAAGATATTAGTGCTAATAGAGTAATGCACCCTATACTGGGTTGGTGTATAATTATCAGGCGTTTTTAAATAATATTTATTATGAAAAATGAAACATAATTCAATAATAACATTTTTAAATGATTTAATTATAACCTGAAAATAAAATAATATTTTTATTAGATAAGTAAACTAAACAATAATTTTTATTAACAAATAACTCGCTTACAAAAACGCCTGATAATTATGCACCAACCCAATATATAGATAAAAACTTAAGAGACACTCAAGGTAGAAACTAAGATAGATAGATAGATATTGGGTTGGTTCATAATTATCAGGCGTTTTTAAGACTATATTTATTATGAAAAAAGAAACATAACAATTCAACAATAACATTTTTAAATGATTATTCCGGGGCGTATGATTATCGACACTCATTTTTATAAACTGAAAATAAAATATTTTTATTTCAAAAAAGTAAACAAAACAGCAATATTTATTAACAATTAACTTGCCTGCAAAATCGCCTGATTATGCACCAACCCAATAGATTTCAAGGTCAGCTTGAGGGATTTCCATCTGTGAACCTCTAACAGACGAAGAATATAATATTATCTATCTATCTATCTATAGATAAAGGCAAAACTTTCTCTACTCGGGTTATAAAAATATGGTAGCCATTTGTCAGGTAAATGACGTGTGGTGTGTCTTCGAAATTTTAAGTTGGACAGATAATTCTTGTGAATTTTTACTTAACTTGTTTTTTTTTTATTTAACCTTTATTGCCCTATGTTTTTTTTTTGCCTTTCTCAAAGTAACATGCGATATGCTGTATTCTATCATGATCACACCGGGATGATGAAAATTTAATGCTACATATATATATATATATATATATATATATATATATATATATGAAGAAATACAGTGTAACCCGGATGTAAGAAAGTTGTCGGGACAGGAAAAGAAGTCTCTTATATCCGGGTTTCTCTTATATCCGGGTTTGGTCTATTTTGTTTAGGTAAGTATGGGAATAATTTGGGACCAGAGAAAATCTCTCTTATATCCGGGTTTCTCTTATATCCGGGTCTCTTATATCCGGGTTACACTGTATACTCTTTAGGTATGCTATATTTATGGGATAAAGTGATCAATATCAGAGATAGAACGCGTGTAAATATAAAAGTAAACATTGAAGTCGAAACTTAGAGGCGACAGGCTGGTTCATGCTAGACGCAATCGTCAGGCCATATATATATATATATATATATATATATATATATATATATATATATATATATATATATATATATATATATAAGAGATTGATGAAAATATAATTTTACATCTATGGGTAAAAGTGCTGAACATCAGGAATGTAATATAAAAGTGGACACTGACTTAATACCAAGCGGTAATAGCCTGAAGATTGTGTTTAAGCATGAAACAGACGGACAACGCACGGTTTTGATCTTTGAATCTAATATTATTAGGTTGTAAGAATATTTTTTTCAGATAATAATGGCTATGGGATACACGTCTTACTACTTAACCCATAGCTAGAGGGAGAAGAGATGGTTTCATACCTTTCCAAAGGTAAGTGAGTACAACGAACAAAATGCGAATTAATAATTCCGAGCCATTATCCATGACCCCAATCGCAGATCTGAGCTTAGAGCACCTGATATTCCTCAAGCAGTCACCCATCTAGGACTCATTTTTATTGCCATATTCAAGGCGTTTTGACCGTTGTTCTCTCCTCTCTTTTTCAGGTGATATTTCTTGGAATTTTGAAACTATAATTTAGTACATGAAGGTAAAAGGCTCTAATTCCACGTGCCACGCCTTTGGATGTCTTAGTTTCAGTTAATTCCCATTGATGACTCAACTGACTAAGTTTTTGTCCCCTCTGCTGTGGCCAGATATTGAACTCGCAAGTTTTGGGGTCAAGTCAGTTTTGGATTAATCAACCAATGCTTTTATCCAATTTTATCCACTGGGCCATGTATCCATGTTTTTAACCAAAATAATCGAAGTTATCGATAAAGCGCCAACGTACAACCAGGTCAATAAATGAGAAAACGAGAAAAGGAAAAAAAAAAAAAAAGAGCAAGAAAAAAGAAAACAGAAGATAAAAAAAATTAAACCAGACATCTACTTATATGAAAGCCTAAAGTTCTCAATGCATATACAGTATAGACTAAGACAGAGCAGTAACACTAACAAATCATCGCTCAGGAACTCCGATCCAAATCGGGGTTTCACGCTATGGCAATCGTCAGCAAACAAGTTCTTGTCGTCTGACGATCATCATAGCGTGAAACGCAGAGTTACGATTTAGATCTGAATCTCTGAGAGTTTGTTAGAATCTATTCTGGGTCTGTTAGGATAACGAACAGACGTGGGATTAAATGGCCCTCTAATTACGCCGAAAAATGGTGACCCATGTATAATTTTAGTATTCCTTTGCACCGAAACTATTCCAGCCAGTAATACGAGTGCAACATGTCCCTAATGCCAGTATCACGTAAAAAAGCCATGAAATATTCATCATGCCTCTCTGAATGTCAATCAAAATCGGAGTTGGGTTAACTTGGTTGATTCTTACGACATGTCATTCGTTGCTGGATTATTTATTGCCGAAAGCAGAGTTTTATTTTCTCTTGAAAAAATAGATTTATGTCCATCTGCATTTGCTTGGTTCGGAGATAAAAGCTAAACGTTAGAAGCACTGATTTGGTAGGAAGCTGATTTTTTTTATCCCTCTACATATTCTTGATAACACTAATAGTGCAGAGGCTGTTTCTGTCTGTCTGTAGATGACTATATATGTATTTGTGTGAGGTAGAAAAGTCAATTTTTGGTTGCATAGTTTTAGAATCAATTGATTTCTTTAAGGTTTCTTTCTTTGTTAAAATATTGACACTTGGAGTATGTGTAAAAAATGTAAGGTCAAAAGAAAATATCAGACAGGAATTTAGTAAACTACGTCAACGAAAAAAAAAACAAACTTAAAACTCAGTCCCAAAAATAATAATAAAATTAACTTTAATAAATTTCCAAAAATTAGCAAACGAAATTTGTCGAAAACAAAAAGGAAATAATTGATTAGTTTGAAATGTTTCCAAAGCAGAGAACATGAATAAACGTATTGAAATTCCTGTAATAATTAAATATTAATAAAAACCCGCTGAATTAACTATTTTTAAAGAAGAAGGGAATAGATCAAAGTCTTTTAACATCTTTTTAGAAGTTTGTTTGTTCAGTCGTATTGATTCGATTAACAGATAAGCGATAAGAAACAGATGAAGTAGAGAAAAGCTAATTAATATAGACTGATAGACAAAACAGATCATTGGACATAAATAAGAAAAGAAAAACCTTCTTTCACTATCTATCTATCTATCTATCTATCTATCTATCTATCTATCGCATTTTGTTCATATGTGACACTATTTGTCGTTGGCGCGGTAAAACGGAAGAAAGTTTTGTTAAAACATAAGAAATTGTTATGTGCTGAGAGACATTGAAATAAGAAGGGTTAATATCAAAAACCCGTGGGAAGAATTGAGGATTTAATTCTCGCATAAACGACTTGAATTGTATGTCGCGCAGTTTGAACAATGGAAAAGTGACCCCGACTTAGGAGGGCAATGTTGATTGACAAACAGCTGCAAATGCAAGCTGTAAAGCGAAAATGTTATTTTTCGTAAATAACGAATTTGGAGAATGTCAGGAGAGGGGGTGGATAAGCCACTCACTCTCACTAAGGAGATTTAGTGAGGGGTAATATTATGAGAGAGTGGAGAGAGGGAATTCCCCAAAGTTATGACGTAAGCCGGAGTGGATTCACGAAAATGCTCCTATCTTGCCATACCGCCCCCATATCAGTTTGGGAGAATGTCCATAAACACGAATGCGCGAAGCAAATTAAGTCAAAGAGAGAAAAAAGGAGACGGAAACGATATCAGAGACAGGAGAGAGGCGCACGTGATTTTCTGCTAATGAAAGCCAAACTTTACCAACAATAGCAAACTAAAGTTTCCTAAGTCGACAGCAATAATATTACTTCAATCGCATTTTTCGATTGTGGACTTCTTGTACTTCAGTCAACATTGATCATCAAACGTTTAAATACAATATCAATCATTATCAACTACTTAATTTCCTCATATTCTTTCACACACAATAACACACCGTGCTTTAGTGATTATATTGCTGTGGTTGGGATGAAACGATAAAAAAGATAGATAGATAGATAGATAGATAGATAGATAGATAGATAGATAGATTATGAGCAAACAGGGGGAGATAAGCTGAGATAAATGGATAGATATGAAGAGGCTGTTATGGATAGATATATAAATAGATAAATAGATATGAAGAGACAGATAGATAATGAACAGGATGAGATAAATATGCTGAGATAAATTGATAGATATAATGTGGTTGGAATAAATGAATAGATAATGGACAGACTGTGATAGATAGATAGATAGATAGATAGATAGAAACAGCCTGCGATAGATAAAAAGTCTGACAGTTTGCTCGATAGATATGAACATCATCAGATAGATAGATAGATTAGACACATACACACACACACACGTGCATACATACACACACACACACATATATATATGTATGAGTATAGTACAGTTAATCGATCTGTTAGTATATAATCCGGGTGGATTCTAGTAATATTAATTATTGGAACTGATTCACAAAGAGCTCTATGATTTTATTTTAACAGAGCGTCTTTATTTTTTACATAAAAAAATAAGAAGTACCTCAGGCCGTTCTGTACGTGGCTATCATCAGCTCCTAACTAAGTGATGATAGCCGCGTATAGAACGGCTTGAAATAGACTCTATGTTGAGGTAATTTGTTGTTTTTTTTTCTGTAATATATATATATATATATATATATATATATATATATATATATATATATGTCTGTGGATGACAATGTATAAGCCCCGGAAATATCAAATCAGTCGAGCACTCTGGAGGGAAAAGAGCGAATTGGTAAAAAGTGACTGATACTGTTGATAATGCAAAGCTCTTCTATGAATTGAGCCCTCTTGGCCATTGCCGTGTTGATTCATAAAAATAAATACGCAAAAAATTCTTCTTCCGCTCTGCCGGGCGCCGCTATATAAGGGTAAAATCTCCGACTGATGCCAAATCGGTCGGGTTTCTTTCCCGGCTTGAGGCAATCGGATGTCTAGCCACACTGATGAGCTATGATACAGCGAAACAATCTGTCTGTGGATGACAGTATATAAGCACCCGAAATATCAATTCAGTCTAGGACTTTGAATGGAAAGAGCGAATTTGTAAACAGTGACTTTTACTGCTGATAATGTTAATCTCTTCTGTGAATTGAGTCCTTTTGACCGCTGTCTGTGGATGAGACTATATATATATATATATATATATATATATATATATATATGTGTGTGTGTGTGTGTGTGTGTATATATATATATATATATATATATATATATATATATAGATAGATAGATAGATAGAGAGAGAGAGAGAGAGAGAGAGATGATAGTCGAGAGTCTAGAAAGGGCGACACAGAGAGAGATTCTGAAATAGTTTGTAGAGGAATATTTAATTATATTTCTGACTGTTAATGCCCAATGTCTTAGTAATAGGCGGTCATAAAATCTATCTTGTCTTCCATGCGCCGTGTCCCTTCTGGCCGTGGCTGACCACGGTTCTCTACAGCTTTATAACCTTTGTATCTCTTACCAGTGTTTTTTTTTTTTTTACATTTTTTATATCCCTCACTCCCCTTGTTCCAATATCCATTTGTAAAACCTCCTCCAAAAGGGGGTTACTCAATGTCTCCCTTGGTCCCTTTTTGATTTCAATAAGTTCTGTGAGTGTTAAATTCTCCAAGTACTCTTTCCTCATTATGTGTCCCGAATGATTTAACTATTTCGGAATCTCGGCACAAGTGTTAGCATTCTCCTTAAAACATCCTCATTGTCCACGTGCTCCGTCTGTGGCATTCTCTGATTCCTCCTGTACAATCCGATTTCTGTTGACGTATGCCCCTCCTTCGTCTGTGAGGAAACTGTCCAGCATTCACATTTTATGTCTTCATTGCCCTGAATGACGTAGTCTTGCTGATCTAATCGTTATCTATCTATCGAGCAAACTGTCAGACTTTTTATCTATCTCAGGATGTTAATACAACTCTCAGTCTGTTTCGATCTATCTATCTATCTATCTATCTATCTATCTATCTATCTATCTATCTATCTATCTATCTATCTCATTCTCTTCCTATCTATCTATCTATCTATCTATCTATCTATCTATCTATCTATCTATCTATCTATCTATCTATCTATCTATCTCATTCTGTTCCTATCTATCTATCTATCTATCTATCTCATTCTCTTCCTCTATCTATCTATCTATCTATCTATCTATCTATCTATCTATCTATCGCATTCTGAAAGAAGATCAGCTGGAATTCTAACTCTCTACTTGTTTACTTATTCTGCGGACTATTCTCGGTGTCAGTTTATATGTATTTGGAGGAGTCCAAAACGTCTTCTGGAGAGGTGTGTTCATCTCTGCAAGAATTTCCCATATTGGAGGACAGATATATCTTAATAGTACAACAACTTTTAACACACCTTTCTTTGTTTCTCTCGACTGTTTTTTTGGCGAAACACAATCTTAAGTTTTTCCTTTCGTTTTATTCACACACACACACACACACACACACACACACACACACACACACACACACACACACACACACACACACACACACACACATATATATATATATATATATATATCGAATGGGTAAATATAGCTAGATATACGAACGAACGATCGTATACTAATACATATAAATACTCTATAGTTAAGAAAAAACAGTGCTCAATGTTAAGTAACAGAGCTATTTATTATATATATTAAGAATTATTCATAATATCTTATATTAATTGCACAACTCCGAGTTTCATGCCGAAGCAATTTGCAAGAAATGGAATTAAAAATAAATATAATAATTCCAACACTTGAAAATTGCTTC